AAATAAAACAGATACAATAGTGCAAGAGAATAATAATAATATGGGCTGTGGGTTGATTTCTGTCCTCTTGCCTCCATGCTAAATCTACCACATTTACATAATGGACTAACGTGTATTGTCCCTTCTTAAAGAGGACATACTATTCAAATGTTCAGGTGTATATCAGTATGTAGTGTCTCTACTTTAAAGAGTCCTCTCCTGCTGATGTTCAGGTGTATATCAGTATGTAGTGTCTCTACTTTAAAGAGTCCTCTCCTGCTGATGTTCAGGTGTATATCAGTATGTAGTGTCTCTACTTTAAAGAGTCCTCTCCTGCTGATGTTCAGGTGTATATCAGTATGTAGTGTCTCTACTTTAAAGAGTCCTCTCCTGCTGATGTTCAGGTGTATATCAGTATGTAGTGTCTCTACTTTAAAGAGTCCTCTCCTGCTGATGTTCAGGTGTATATCAGTATGTAGTGTATCTTCTTTAAAGAGTCCTCTCCTGCTGATGTTCAGGTGTATATCAGTATGTAGTGTCTCTACTTTAAAGAGTCCTCTCCTGCTGATGTTCAGGTGTATATCAGTATGTAGTGTCTCTACTTTAAAGAGTCCTCTCCTGCTGATGTTCAGGTGTATATCAGTATGTGGTGTCTCTACTTTAAAGAGTCCTCTCCTGCTGATGTTCAGGTGTATATCAGTATGTAGTGTCTCTACTTTAAAGAGTCCTCTCCTGCTGATGTTCAGGTGTATATCAGTATGTAGTGTCTCTACTTTAAAGAGTCCTCTCCTGCTGATGTTCAGGTGTATATCAGTATGTAGTGTCTCTACTTTAAAGAGTCCTCTCCTGCTGATGTTGGTTAGCTGGCCGGCTCTGTTGTGATTGGTCAACCGCTTAGAGATGTCCCTCCCCTTTAGCCTATCACGTACAATGTGTTGGAGCGCTAGCCAATAGGAGGAACTACGGGAAAGGGAAAACCCCAAAAGCCTAATAGGGCCTCTTTAAATAAATCAATCAAAATGAGTCTCTTCTTCTTCACCAGTGAGATTGAAGTGAAGAAGCACAGATGTTCACGCAGTCAGGGAAAGTAACGTGTCGGGTTTTTGTGCAACCATGCGTGAATTTAACAATTAACATCTGTGTGAAAGCTGTGCATGCACTTTAACATAAACCTTCATCGTCACAATAGGCAGAAAGATGAACTGAGCACAAGCAGGAGCATGAGCCGATCTCTCAATCAGCTGCTGTGAGTAATGTACATAACGGTCTCATTTCACTTCCCCCTGCTCCTTTTACACAATCAACAGCAGCTGATTGCGTCCCCTTTTGAGTGTTGACTCAAAAACAAATCACATGTGGAACAATGTCACTGATTGTACCGTGTAATTAGGGACCACAAGAGAGATGGAAGTCAGTCTTGTTTCAACATCTAATATCTGTAAGAATCTGTAGCTTAGTTCTTATATTTGCTTATTATTTGATGAAGGTAATATTTTATGGCACCATGTTGTGTTATAGTGTTCTTTAGCTTACAATAGGCATTCAAATCCCGGGGAGAATTCACTTTCATTTCCTTATGCGCACAGTTCTGCATTTTTGGGGGGATTTGCATGTTTTTTTTAGCTAACAAAAGGCACATTATTCAACTTCTCTGCTTTAAAATGTCTCAAAATGACTAGAGCTCTAAGGTAAATGGCTTTTTACTGGCGTAGCATCCCATGGGCACATTTTTTTAAATTTCATTTTGTTTTACTTAAAGGTGGGGTTAGGTAAGAATGGAGAAACCGGCTCGAGATCGCTAGAATTTGAAAATACACAACCGGAGAAAATCTGCTACTTCCTTACAGAGCCCCTCCTCCAACACACACGAACGCGCACATGACCAATGAGGGCACGAGATAAGTTTGTGCACAGATGGAAGGCTGACAGGCAGGTAGGCCATCCAGTTATTTTAGCCGGGCCGGCTCAGATGATTGGTCGTGCTTTTTACAGTACTACGGCTTCCACAGATGATATTTATTTATGGATTTTTTGTCAAAGCACTTAAGATATTCATTGCTATCGGGATGTTAAGAGCATTCCATGGAATATAACAAAAAGTGTATCTCGAGCCGGTTTCTCAAACTTACCTACCCCACCTTTAACACCTTTTGGCCTAAGTGAAATGAACGTATGATAATAAGCTCAGAATGCCTTAAAATGAGTTCTTCCTAATTAGCAGCATCTGAGCTTTTTACTAAGAGCCGCCATCATTTTTACACAGATATATGAACTTCATTCGGTCTTTTCTAACCCTAACCCTCATCTAGATGTTAGTGTCTTTTTGTGTCTTTTAATACGGAGACGATGGCAAAGATGATCGTATATAACCTTCTCCATATCTATCACATTTGATTCCCATCGCATAACCACACACGTGTTTGAAACAGTTACAGAAAAAAGCCTTTTAAGGTCACCACATCTGTTCTGTGAGGCTCAGCTGACAGATTCATGTCATCGTCTGTCGTCCTTCTTTATGGAAATATATGAACTTCACCATTAAGCCTGTGTGTGTGTGTGTGTGTGTGTGTGTGTGTGTGTGCGTGCGTGCGTGCGTGTGTGTGTGTGTGTTTGTTTGTGTGTGTGTGTGGTGTGTGTGTGTGTGTGTGTGCGTGCGTGCGTGCATGCGTGTGCGTATGTGTGTGTGTGTGTGTGTGTGTGTGTGTGTGTGTGTGTGTGTGTGTGTGTGTGTGTATGTGCGTGCGTGCGTGCGTGTGTGCGTGTGTGTGTGCGTGTGCGTGTGTGTGTGTGCGTGTGTGTGAGTAATTCACATGATCTTGGATTAAAGCCCCCTGCTGTGCGCCTGCTGGAGCACCTGTAGTCAGGGCTCAGTCGTATAATCCATAAAGGTAACGTGAGTGAGACTAAAAGCAGGAACAGATCCAGTGGGTGTTCAAATAAAAAGATAAATGATGATGTAGAAACACGCTGAAGTCTTTTCTTCTTATTACATTTCACAGAGATTACAGATTTGATCTTATTCACGCCGTCACGTTTCAATCTGGCAGCTTTGAAGTTGCAGGGAGATTTAAGAGCGAGGCAGGTGTAAAGAGAACACTCTATAAACCGGCGACAAAAAAAAAGACAGACGCTCTCCGGGTTTCTCTGATCCGCAGGAAGTAGGCCAGGCTGCGAGATCACGTGGTGACTCGATATCAAAGTTTCTTTTTGGATGTCAAGAAAGAGAGCTTTAAAACATCCCTCTCTCTCACACACACACACACACACACACACACACACACACACACGTAGGGATAGTGGGCTGTGATGAAGTACATTTACTGCGTTTAAGTATGATGTTCAGGTGCTTACTTGTACTAGTATGTTCACGTTATGGTACTGCTTATCCCCTTCAGCTATCTGACAGTTTTAGAACTGAATGCATCAAGAATCATAATCCAGTCATTTCATATTATGAAATGAAATGAGCAATTACACATGACGAGTACACTACATGTTGATGCCAATAATCATCTACTTTTAGTTAAATATTCAGGACTTGTAGGAGAGTATTTAAATCCAAAGTCTAGTATTTCTACTTTTACTCAAACACAGATCTGAGAATTTCTTCCAGCTCCGCATGATTGGACATATTTTTAGCTTCCCAGCTGAACACTGCGTCACAAAGAGTCATAAATCCACTTCTCAGGGATGGGATTTGAACTATTCACCCGCCTATACTGTCAAACACACACACACACACACACGCACACACACACACACACGCACACACACACACGCACACACACACAACACACACCACACACACACACACACACACACACGCACACACACACGCACACACACACACACACGCACACACACACACACACACACACACACACACACACACACACACACACACACACCACACACACACACCACACACGCACACACACACACACACACACGCACACACACACGCACACACACACAGAGAGAGAGAGAGAGAGAGAGAGAGAAACATGAGAAGAAGCAGAGAAATCCTAGAGGAGGTTTAATGAGAGGCTAATATCATAAACTCACGTGTGCAGATGATGTATTTTACGGTGATGCAACTGCAGTTATCATGTCTACTTTTAGGATGTAAGCTGTGGTTCATGAATGTTAGAGGTAAGGAATATCCAGAAGGACATAATATGCTCCTAGACATGGAAAGAGGATGAGGGTCACATCTGGAAAATGTATTCCAGAGGTCAAATTAAGAATTGTAGTTAAATAATTTCAATTACAAAATGTTATTTTTTTCCCATTTAGAATAGATATCTGACAGTCAAAATGTATTTTAAGAAAATTGTAAAGTATACATAGATTGTAGAGTTTAAAGTCTCTTTTTTAAGAGATATTTAAATGTAAGATTTACAGAAAGATATGTGAGTTTTAAGTGAATAGACCTTAATGTGTTCTAAATATTGATAAATATAATATTTAGTAATATAGTCAGAATTCATTTTTTTAAATGTTGAAATCAAACAATTGAGTTCTGAGTTTAAAGTCAAAATTGCGAGTTTGAAGTCAGACTTAAATCCTCTAAATGCTCAGATTAAAGACACATTATTTCAGTACTCAAATGAGCTTCTTCGTGACATCGACTCATTTCTAAGTGATTACGTCAATAAGCCCAACTCCTCGTGCCGAGGGTTAGCAGCAGCCATTTGTCTAATTAGCAATTAAGGATCATTTTGAGTGTTGACAGAGTGTCAGTGAAGCTCCAGCGCGCGCACAGAGTCTCTACAAAAACAGCCAGGAGACACTGAGGCTGGTCGCGTGATGTTTGTACGCGTTATAATCAGACCGCGAATCACGGGAGGAGGAGGGGGGGGGGGGGGGGGGGGGGGGGGGGGGGGCGGGGGAGTCACGTGATTGATAGTTCAGCTCCAAACTTGTTGACTCATAACGAAAAAAGCTCCTCTTCACCCTCCTCGGCGCGGAGCTGTCCAGGAAAGTGGTGCTGGAACCTGGAGACGTTTCTTCCACCGCGGGTTTGATCGCTTTTTCCCCACCGAGAATCTGAGGGTTATTGACGGAAAGGATACTCCATCCAAGAGATTTTTTTTACCGTCTTTTCCTGATCGAATAGAAGACTCTTTTCAGCCATGGCTTTCATGGTGAAACACGTGGTGGGAGGACAGCTGAAGAACCTGACTGGAGGACTCGGGGAAGAGAAACCCGAAGCGGAGAAAACGGACGCGGCGGCGCAGGGGATGACTCAAGAGGAGTTTGAACAATATCAACAACAGTTAGAGGAGGAAAAGTAAGATGATTAGATAAGATTGTGTTTTCTAAACGTGGTGATAGAATAACAACTCTTTGGCATATGTGGTTTTCTGTGTAAATAGCAGCTCCCAGTGCGCGCTTTTACGCATCAGTGCCATAACGCACAGCTGCTCCTCTCGCCCAGGGAGATCTGCGGCTCTTAGCTATCAGGAACATGTCTGTAATGTTGTTTTTTAAATATGGTATTCCTGGAATTAGTATTATTATTCTTCCACGGAAATCTCTAATAGGGATTCTCACCTGGGGCGAAACATGTTCCCATTTCTGTGCGTACAGAGCGATGAATCACACATGCATGACACATCAAGTAAATAAAAAAACTAAATTCGGATATCATCAGAGGGCAAGCAGCCAGGATAAACTAATATGGTTGTATTTTACTCCATATAAGTCGACTTGTATTGCTCCTATACAACTCAAGATGACAAAAAAGTGGTGTAAAAATGAATTCAGATCGCTTCTATCTAATCAGTAATTGTGCTAAGCAGTTTATTTAAAATATACTTAAAGCTCTGAATCCAGCTGTGCACCAGTCACTTCCTTTGTCATTCTGGCTTTTATCATTGAAATGCTCAGAGTCTGACCTGAAGAAGTGCATTCTCTACATGCTAATGTTCCCTGATTTACATACTGAGTCTATCTGGGGGACATTAGAAGGAAACAACAAGGTCATTTGGCAAACAGGAGTTCATCCAGCAGACAGCAACTCACTATGGATTAGGGTGATGCTTCCCTTGGAGCAGGACTCACATGTCAGACGTTCACTGGTGTCTGAATAACTTTACTTTGATAAATAATGTGCAGGAAAGGACACAGTTTTACAGAACACATGCATTCCAGCATGAGGAGCATGAATTATGAAGATGCAATTCACTCAATTGTTTCCCTCGCACATTTTCATGAACACTTTAATCCTCACAGCGCCGTGTGAAGGCATTTTAAGCACGAGTGGGAGGTGAAGTCCTAACTCTGGCAGTATTAATGCTCCGCTCAACCCACCGATCTCTGCAGGAGGCGAGCTTTAACGCTCCACCGTCATTATGTGACCTTCAGTGGAAGTGAGTTATTAGTCAGAGGTGCTAAACATGAGCGTAGATCACGAGAAGCACACGCCGCTCAGATTAAAGCAGAATTAGGTTGGGGAGGAGGAGGGGATCTAACACTGGCGTGACACATGTAGACATTTTATCACCCTCAGCATCCTCACACAGTGACAACTAGGGTCATCTGATGCCCTTGAGAGGGGGCACTCGACTCATTGGCTGCAAGTGAGCCCTGCGTGGTCGCTATGTGCCATTTGGAGCTTTCACGTTGATCCAAAGTGAAACGAGGCTCCCACAAACGCTGCATCTCTGGAAACAACAACCTTCCTCTGACACATTGGGTACAAACACTTTGAAAACCATGCCTGTGGTCCTCCAACGACCCCCCCCCATCTGCTGCAGCTGGTTTGATGCTTCTGGGCGTTCAATGCAACCTCTGAGGATGTCATACTGTATCTTAAACATACAATACAATACAAAGGGGCTTTATTGGCATGACCACATTTTAAACATAGTATTGCCAAAGCATTCCACATAAACACCAAGACTCATATACTATCTGCTCCTTTGTCTCATGCTACGTTTGGCGAGTTTGTGAAGCATTACATCGTGTTGTCGACTCGTGACGTTGCAGCCATTTCAGCAAATGTAGCAATTTACGAGGGGGAATTATGAGCTACACTGAAGCCATACATATTCCAGAGACAGTTGAGTGCCAGCAGCTTGGAGTCTGCCCTCTGCTGGAGGCAACACTTGTTTACATGAGTGAGTCTTCACAGCCTAAAAAATGACCATCAGACATTCCCAAACAGATGTGTAGAGTTTAAGAAATGCCTCACAGCTTTCATGGATGCATGCAGAGTCAGATTTAAGGCAATTATGAGGAGTGTTGTCTTTTATTGCTTTTCCCTAAACTGCACATTTTGCAAAGACAGTTGCAAAGCTCTTATGAGGGTTTGGAAACCCTTAAAAGATGAAATTACCCAAATCAGAATCAGCATTTGGTTTATTTGTAATAGGATGTGAAGACCTACACATGCTGCTTACATAAAACAGTACAACAAATGAAAGAAAGAAGATAGATATATTGTAAAAACCACAAAAGGAAAAGGAAAATAAAATGAAAATGAAGTAAAAAATAATCACAAAATCCCATAAAAAGATATTTGCATTATATCTGAATTTAAATTTGAAAAGCTGTGCAGTTTTAATAGTAGTTTTGTGCAGAAATGTTCGAGCAATGTGCAAAAGTTCTGAGTGTGATGAAGGTCATAGAGGTCAAACAGTGTGACATTGAGACCAAAACAGACAGAGCTTAATCTTTATAATCATTTATTTTAATATGTTCCACTTGCAGTTCAGTTATAGTAGTTTATTAATCTAGTTTATCAAAAAGTAAGGTTTTATTTTCATATCCTTGTATATTGTTCTAGTTTGACCTGTTTTTGATGTATTTGCGATAATATGTTTAACGGATGCAGCACGAAGGAAAGCCCAAACCAAATGACCCATAAAAGTGTATTTCATAAGTTTGAATGCACAAAGGGTCGACGCTGCACAACTAAAGCAGGTTAATCCAGGATGAAGATATAACATGTCTACATGTTTAAGGTACTTCTACTTTGATTACTTCCATTTTCTGATACTTTCTACTTCTACTACACCACATTTTAGAATGTACTCGATTACATTTATATCACAACCTTGGTTAATCAAATTAAGAATATAAACTACAATCAATAAATACATTATTTCCTCCATGTCCCCTCCATGTTCCCTCCATGTTCCCTCTATGTTCCCTCTATGTTCCCTCTATGTTCCCTCCATGTTCCCTCCATGTTCCCTCCATGTTCCCTCTATGTTCCCTCCATGTTCCCTCCATGTTCCCTCCATGTTCCCTCTATGTTCCCTCCATGTTCCCTCCATGTTCCCTCCATGTTCCCTCTATGTTCCCTCCATGTTCCCTCTATGTTCCCCTCCATGTTCCCTCCATGTTCCCTCTATGTTCCCTCCATGTTCCCTCCATGTTCCTCATGTTCCTCATGTTCCTCATGTTCTCATGTTCCTCATGTTCCCTCCATGTTCCCTCTATGTTCCCTCCATGTTCCCTCCATGTTCCCTCCATGTTCCCTCTATGTTCCCTCCATGTTCCCTCCATGTTCCCTCCATGTCCCCTCCATGTTCCCTCTATGTTCCCTCCCATGTTCCCTCTATGTTCCCCCCATGTTCCCTCCATGTTCCCTCCATGTTCCCTCCATGTCCCCTCCATGTTCCCTCCATGTTCCCCGCCATGTTTCCTCCATGTCCCCTCCATGTTTCCTCCATGTCCCCTCCATGTTCCCTCCATGTTCCCTCCATGTTTCCTCCATGTTCCCTCCCATGTTCCCTCCATGTTTCCTCCATGTTCCCTCCATGTTCCCTCCATGTTCCCCCCATGTTCCCTCCATGTTCCCTCCATGTTCCCTCCATGTTCCCTCCATGTTTCCTCCATGTCCCCTCCATGTTCCCTCCATGTTCCCTCCATGTTTCCTCCATGTTCCCTCCATGTTCCCTCCATGTTCCCCCCATGTTCCCTCCATGTTCCCTCCATGTTCCCTCCATGTTCCCTCCATGTTCCCTCCATGTTTCCTCCATGTTTCCTCCATGTTTCCTCCATGTTTCCTCCATGTTCCCTCCATGTTCCCTCCATGTTCCCTCCATGTTTCCTCGATGTTCCCTCTATGTTTCCTCGATGTTCCCTCCATGTCCCCTCCATGTTCCCTCCATGTTCCCTCTATGTTCCCTCCATGTTCCCTCCATGTTCCCTCCATGTTCCCTCTATGTTCCCTCCATGTTCCCTCCATGTTCCCTCCATGTCCCCTCCATGTTCCCTCTATGTTCCCTCCATGTTCCCTCTATGTTCCCCCCATGTTCCCTCCATGTTCCCTCCATGTTCCCTCCATGTCCCCTCCATGTTCCCTCCATGTTCCCCGCCATGTTTCCTCCATGTCCCCTCCATGTTTCCTCCATGTCCCCTCCATGTTCCCTCCATGTTTCCTCCATGTTTCCTCCATGTTCCCTCCATGTTCCCTCCATGTTCCCCCCATGTTCCCTCCATGTTCCCTCCATGTTCCCTCCATGTTCCCTCCATGTTTCCTCCATGTTTCCTCCATGTTTCCTCCATGTTCCCTCCATGTTCCCTCCATGTTCCCTCCATGTTTCCTCGATGTTCCCTCTATGTTTCCTCGATGTTCCCTCCATGTTCCCTCCATGTTCCCTCCATGTTCCCTCCATGTTTCCTCCATGTTCCCTCCATGTTTCCTCCATGTTTCCTCCATGTTTCCTCCATGTTTCCTCCATGTTCCCTCCATGTTTCCTCCATGTTTCCTCCATGTTTCCTCCATGTTCCCTCCATGTTCCCTCCATGTTCCCTCCATGTTTCCTCCATGTTCCCTCCATGTTGCCTCCATGTTTCCTCCATGTTTCCTCCATGTTCCCTCCATGTTCCCTCCATGTTCCTCCATGTTCCCTCCATGTTCCCTCCATGTTTCCTCCATGTTCCCTCCATGTTCCCTCCATGTTCCCTCCATGTTCCCTCTATGTTCCCTCCATGTTCCCTCCATGTTCCCTCCATGTCCCCTCCATGTTCCCTCTATGTTCCCTCCATGTTCCCTCTATGTTCCCCCCATGTTCCCTCCATGTTCCCTCCATGTTCCCTCCATGTCCCCTCCATGTTCCCTCCATGTTCCCCGCCATGTTTCCTCCATGTCCCCTCCATGTTTCCTCCATGTCCCCTCCATGTTCCCTCCATGTTCCCTCCATGTTTCCTCCATGTTCCCTCCATGTTCCCTCCATGTTTCCTCCATGTTCCCTCCATGTTCCCTCCATGTTCCCCCCATGTTCCCTCCATGTTCCCTCCATGTTCCCTCCATGTTCCCTCCATGTTTCCTCCATGTTTCCTCCATGTTTCCTCCATGTTCCCTCCATGTTCCCTCCATGTTCCCTCCATGTTTCCTCGATGTTCCCTCTATGTTTCCTCGATGTTCCCTCCATGTCCCCTCCATGTTCCCTCCATGTTCCCTCTATGTTCCCTCCATGTTCCCTCCATGTTCCCTCCATGTTCCCTCTATGTTCCCTCCATGTTCCCTCCATGTTCCCTCCATGTCCCCTCCATGTTCCCTCTATGTTCCCTCCATGTTCCCTCTATGTTCCCCCCATGTTCCCTCCATGTTCCCTCCATGTTCCCTCCATGTCCCCTCCATGTTCCCTCCATGTTCCCCGCCATGTTTCCTCCATGTCCCCTCCATGTTTCCTCCATGTCCCCTCCATGTTCCCTCCATGTTCCCTCCATGTTTCCTCCATGTTCCCTCCATGTTCCCTCCATGTTTCCTCCATGTTCCCTCCATGTTCCCTCCATGTTCCCCCCATGTTCCCTCCATGTTCCCTCCATGTTCCCTCCATGTTCCCTCCATGTTTCCTCCATGTTTCCTCCATGTTTCCTCCATGTTCCCTCCATGTTCCCTCCATGTTCCCTCCATGTTTCCTCGATGTTCCCTCTATGTTTCCTCGATGTTCCCTCCATGTTCCCTCCATGTTCCCTCCATGTTCCCTCCATGTTTCCTCCATGTTCCCTCCATGTTTCCCTCCATGTTTCCTCCATGTTTCCTCCATGTTCCTCCATGTTCCCTCCATGTTTCCTCCATGTTTCCTCCATGTTTCCTCCATGTTCCCTCCATGTTCCCTCCATGTTCCCTCCATGTTTCCTCCATGTTCCCTCCATGTTGCCTCCATGTTTCCTCCATGTTTCCTCCATGTTCCCTCCATGTTCCCTCCATGTTTCCTCCATGTTCCCTCCATGTTCCCTCCATGTTTCCTCCATGTTCCCTCCATGTTTCCTCCATGTTCCCTCCATGTTCCCTCCATGTTCCCTCCATGTTCCCTCCATGTTTCCTCCATGTTCCCTCCATGTTCCCTCCATGTTTCCTCCATGTTCCCTCCATGTTTCCTCCATGTTTCCTCCATGTTTCCTCCATGTTTCCTCCATGTTCCCTCCATGTTCCCTCCATGTTCTCCTCCCATGTTCCTCCATGTTCCCTCCATGTTCCCTCCATGTTTCCTCCATGTTCCCTCCATGTTTCCTCCATGTTCCCTCCATGTTTTTTCCTCCATGTTTTCTTCCATGTAGTAGTTAAGAGGAGATGTAACATCCACGTCAAAACAAGAGCCTTATTGCACTGAAAAAACTGAAACATTGACTTTAATTAAATGTATTTTGTCAACAGATTTCACATCAACTGTATTAGGTTTGTTGAAAGCAATAATATTAAGTTTTAATAGGTTCAACTTAGGAGTATTGCTTTCAACTAACCTAATACCGTATATATGAAGTCATCAAATAAGTACAAATAAAACTCAGTTAGTTCGTTTTCACATCAATTTCAAACGCATTTATTTGACCTTTATGACCTTACCTACTCGTACCCCATTTCTGCACAAAACTACCACTTTTGTTTTTTAAACGGCACAGCTTTCCCAATTTCATTTGAGATATACTGCAAATATCTGTTGACGATAATAAGTCATTATTTTATCTGCATTTTCTTTTATAGAGTTTTTTTTTAATTATTTCATCCTTTTTTTCTTTGTTTGGTCTTTCTGATTTGCAATTTCTCAAATGTTTCTATTTAAATAACTTTTTGTACTGTTTTATTTAAGCAGCAATTCACCCAGGCAGAGTCCTGCTCTAAAAGCACAGAGTTTCCCCCCCACATGGCGATTATTAACATCGATTTTCTTAATTTTCAGCTTGGTGTGGTTGCAATATTTAAGGGGTAATTGGTGAAAGCATGCACAGTTGATTCAAACGTTTATCTTGATTCATTGTGTTTGGAGAAAATCTGCCAATAAACACATTTGTTCGTCCTTTCTTGCAGACAGGAACGAGAAGCCAATTTTGCCCAGAAGAAAGCCGAGAGGGGCCACAGTCAGAAGTCATTTCCGGGATAAGTACCGACTACCAAAGGTGAATAGGTCCTGCTCAGGTCATGTAAAGAAAAAGCTTGAATAATGCATATTTTTGATGAATACAAATACCATCAAGATCAATGCATGTGTAAAACCAGTGGCAGAAAGTAATGTAACTCACGTACTGGAATTTAGTACAACTTTGAGGTACTTGTACTTTGATTACTTCCATTTTCTTATATATTTCTACTACACAACATTTCAGAGGCAGATATTATTTTTTTTTAATTTACTCCATTACATTTATATCACAACCTTGGTTATTCAGCATTCGCTCATTAACAATAGAAACTATAATCAATAAATACATTATTTTAATATTCTAGTGAGGCTTTTACTATTCCTCATTGGGCTAAACAGCAGTATGTAAAGTAATACTTAAATATGTAATAGTTGGAAGAATCAGATATTGTACTTGAGTAAAATTAGAAGTACTCAGATCTTGTACTTGAGTAAAAGTAGAAGTACTCAGATCTTGTACTTGAGTAAAAGTAGAAGTACCAGAGTGTAGGAATACTCTGTTACAGTAAAAGTCCTGCATTCAAAATGTTCCTCAAGTGAAAGTAGAAAAGTATTATCATCAAAATATAGTTAAAGTAGCGACAGTAAAAGTAGTCATTGTGCAGATTGGTCCATTTCAGAATAATATATATGATATGTTTTATAATGATTGATCATGAAAGTGTTCTCAAAGCTGGTAAAGGTGCAGCTAGTTTGAATGACTTTGTATACTGCAGGGTAGCTTGTGAATTTACTCCAGGTGGAACTAAAGTCTGATTTAACACTTGATTATATTTCACATCATTCATCCACATCTGTGAAGTCACTAAAGGTATTAAATACATGTAGTGGAGTAAAAGTACACCAGTTACCTCTGAACTGTAGTGGAATAGAAGTACAATGTAGCATAAAATGGAAATACTCAAGTAAAGTACTTCAAAATGGTACCTACATTCAGTACTAGAGTAAATCTACTTAGTAACTTAAAGGTCCCCTATTATACTGTTTTTCATCAATATATTACAGGTCTCAGATATATCCAGAACCTGTCTCTGATTGGCTGAAACACCAAACAGATCATTGCAGCATCCCATAATCCCCTCTGTTTCAGCCCTGTTTCAAAAGTGCTGATTCTCTGTCTGTTACTTTAGATGAAAATAAGGAGCCCCTCCCCACGCCCCTCTGATGCCCCTTTCACACCAAGGCTTTTCCCGTTCTAGCTCCGTGCTAGAGCTTTTCTGGTTCAGAACCGGTTCTTCGGTTCAGCTCCCGCTCTGTTCACACCGCTCAGAGCCCGACTGGTGCTGCCGCTGCTGTGTCATGACGTCACAGTTTACGTCGCTGATTTTCTCCCCAACGCCGGAGCTCACCTCACAACAACAACGGGCCGGGGACTGCGTCGGGTCAATGATCGTGTTGCTTTTAATCATACGAAGCCAGATTCAATTAAATAACGACTTCTCCAACCTTACACTTTTCTCCAGAGTGCCGTGGTTCATTGTTTATTAATGTGTTTCAGCGGCATGTACCGACCGCTGCAGTGCGGTCTGCTCTTCCACGGGAGTTCATTCTCCCGTTAGCTCCGGGTTAGCTCACACGGCTCTAAAGTATTCACTGTCTGACTGTCACACAAGCAGCTGATACATATCCCCAGTTCCCCTTAAGTGAATGTGTGTCAGTCTGAATTGACGCTGTTTGGCATCACAACGCTGTTATGAAAGTTTCTCTGGTATAACATGGGTGATGTTAGCATAGCAACCGAAGCTAAACTGACTACTTGCTAAGCCGTTTTCAACAGGCACTTTTTACCGACGTATATTTCATTATGATTCTACTTGTGATAGTTGGACATGACAACCTGTGCAGCCCATGTATTGATTCCATCCGATAGCTGCTATAATACAAAACAAAACGTCTGCCTGCTCTCCACAATGATCAATAACAGCGAACGGATGGTCAAAGTAAGGTACAAATAAACAGAATCACACGAAGCCTGGTTAGTGTTGCCTGACTTTATAAAGTGTGTTTTTTTAACAAGTGTGTGGTTGCGTTCTAGTCACTTTGCTCAGCACTACTGCTTGTTACAACTTTTATTTGCCGTACTCGCCTTAACTGTTAGCTCAGGTTAATCTCGCCCCTCTCCGACGTAAGCGCGACGTATGCGGTTCTTGCTTCTAGACGGACAACTTTTTGGTGCTCGAAACGAACCGGATTCCGGAGCTTAGAGGCTGCTGTGAACAGGAAAACCCGGTGCTTTTCAAGCTCCAGCTCCGAACCGGCCCTGAAACACCGTTGGTGTGAATGGGGTATGAGAGATATTTGGTTACAAAGAACACAATGGTGCTCGAGGAGGAGATTCAAGTGATAAGGTGGGGGGGGTTACCTTGATTGGTGATTGGCTAATGGTTACACAAGCCAAAACATCGTTTTGACATCATAAAGTGGCCAAAATCTGATCAGCTCATTTTCAGACAGGTTTTTATAGAAATGGATCAGGACAAAAAGAGAGAGAATCTTTGTTCCTGAAACTTTCAGAGTCTCTTTACACAGAGGAGACACATGTTGATGTAGAAGAGACATGAAGAAGAGGGGACACATGGTTATGTAGAAGAGACGTGAAGAAGTGGATTTTGCATAATAGGTGACCTTTAACTCCACTTTTGTCCCTCAGAACGAGACGGACGAGACTCAGATCCAGCAGGCGGGCGACGACGTGGTTTTGCCCACAGAACTCGCCAAGATGATTGCAGAGGACGGCCAGGAAGAAGCCAGCAAGCAGTCGGTGTTTGGCCATCTTTCCAACATCCAGAACGTGGACATGGACCAGCTGAAGGACAAAGCCCAGGCCACGCTGGAAGACCTCAAAAAGCAGACGGAGAACTGCAGCCTCATGTGATCTGGCCCAGAGCATCAGAGTTTTACTTGTACAAATACTTCTCAGAGGCAGAGCTGCTGTGCAGGGTGGACATTTTCTTATTGCTTTAGTGGAGCCGAGCCACATAATAATATAAGTTTTTCTAGCTGCGCAAAGTTATACACAGTCCCTGCAGGAAAGATAATAAAAACATGGTGTAATCTGGAGCTAGTCTTGAAGTAAAAAGGGTCATCAAGTTGAGCTAGTTCAGTTAGCTTTCAGTCAAATTTTGAGGTAGGTAGTTTTCTAGCTGTGCAAAGTTAGTAAGACGCCCTGCAGAAAATCAAAAGGAAAGATTATGATACCTAGATCTGACTGACAAGAATTCTTACCATAGCATCTTTGAGGTAGGCTAGTTCAGTTAGCTGTCCTGTTGACCTTCAGCTGAGTTAACAATGTCATCCTTATTTTTATCTAAACGTGCACTGTGAACGGTAGATTTTCTAGCTGTGCAAAGTTAGTAACAATCCCTGCAGACAAGAAAGTAAAATATGTGAATATCTGCAGCCTGCCTGACTTACAGGAAACAAATGCATTCTTAGCATAGCTTCTGTGAGGTAAGCTAGTTCAGTTAGCTTTCCTATTGACCTTCAGATAAGTTGCAAATGTCGTCCTTATTTTATTGCAGGTCGAACGCTAGTTGTTCTAGCTTTGCAAAGTTAGACACCTGCAGAAGAAATTAAGAAAAGATGGTCAAATATGGAGCTTGTCCTACTAACAGGAAAGACATTTATTCTTGCTAAGCGTCATTGAGGTGAGCTAGTTATGCTAGCTTTCCTGTTTAACTTCAGCTAAGTTAGTAATGTCATCCACATTTTTATTTAAACGTGCACTGTGAAAGGTAGATTGTCTAGCTGTGCAAAGTTAGTAACAATCCCTGCAGACAAGAAAGTAAAATATGTGAATATCCAACACAGTCTCACGGCATTTCGTGTTATAGTCACGAAATTAATCTATTGATTCGTGTTCACCAACACGATTTCGCCATTTTTTTCGTGTCACACAGAACGATTTTAAAAGCAATGTAAATAATAACAAATTAGAAGGAAAAAGACATTTAAAAAAATACAGATTTAAGTATTCTGACACAGAACGATGTTAGAAGCAATGTATTTATATTGGTAGTATGTTTCGTGCCTGCACCAAATAATAACAAATTAGAAGGAAAAAAAGATGACATAAAATACAGATTTCAGTATTCTGAGGCTCTGAGACATTTCTTTTCCTCACTGATGGCAAAAAAACTCAGACATTATACAATTTAAAATAAAAGGGATAAGGTTAGGCTTAGGGTAAGATATTGAGTAAGAACATGTTTTTATGAACCACACAGCTTCTGGTCTTCCAAGACCCGACCGGACAAAAAGACGTGTTGCAGGCACGAAACATACTACCAATAGAAATACATTGCATTTAAAACACGAATCAATAGATTAAATTAATTTCGTGACTAATAACACGAAATGCCGTGAGACTGGGTTGTACTAACAGGAAAGACACTCTTGCTAAGCGTCATTGAGGTGAGCTAGTTATGCTAGCTTTCCTGTTTAACTTCAGCTAAGTTAGTAATGTCATCCACATTTTTATCTAAACGTGCACTGTGAAAGGTAGATTTTCTAGCTGTGCAAAGTTAGTAACAATCCCTGCAGACAAGAAAGTAAAATATGTGAATATCTGGAGCCTGTCTGACTTACAGGAAACAAATGCATTCTTAGCATAGCTTCTCTGAGGTAAGCTAGTTCAGTTAGCTTTCCTGTTGACCTTCAGCTAAGATAGTAATGTCACCCTCATTTGAATCAAACCTTGAACTGTGATAGATAGATTTTCTAGCTGTGCAAATTAAGACGGAGGACCTGCAGACAAGAAAGAAAAAGATGATGAAATATTGTAACTGTAACTCAATTCTTGCCATAGCGTCTTCGAGGTAGGCTAGTTAAGTTAGCTTATACTCTCAGATAAGTTAGCAATGTCATCCTCTTTTTAATTTAAACCTGCACTCTGATAGCTAGTTTTTCTATCTGTGCAAAGTGAGTTAGACGCCCTGCAGAGAATAAAAAGATTATGAATCCTAGAGCTAGTCTGATTTACAGGAAAATAATGAATTCTTACCATCGCGTCTTTGAGGAAGGCTAGTTTTGTTAGCTTTCCTGTTGACCTTGAGCTTGAAACTTGCCCTCAGAAAGACTTACTATTTGGCTCTTCTCATTTAGATTCATCCAGTGAGATTATTTCCACCTTTAGAGCAGCTCCACCTCTGAGAAATATTCATCTACATATTAAATCCTTTACTCCCTGATTCCCCTAACATCCCTCACTCCCTGTGCCTCACGTGACCAGTTACAACACAATAGGAATCTGCAGCAGTGTGTGTGTGTGTGTGTGTGTGTGTGTGTGTGTGTGTGTGTGTGTGTGTGTGTGTGTGTGTGTGGGGGTGTGTGTGTGTGTGTGTGTGTGTGTGTGTGTGTGTGTGTGTGTGTGTTATCCTAGCTCCCAAACACACAGCAGATGATTTCACTGATGAACACATGCACCTTCGACAAGCTGCAAGGCTACAAGGAAAAAAATAAGCTCATGTTTGGAGGCCATATGTGTGTTTTGGGAAATGTCCTTATTTATTTAAGGTAAATAACATGAACGAGCCATTAGTGGGTAGTTTATATTCCACGTACAGAAGCACAACATCTTAGAAATGTGCAATATTCATGAAAAGCAACAAATGAGGCAGATGTTTTGCCATACAGTAAATAGCTTATTAATGTTGGCGCCCCGGTGCCCTGATCAACGCTCCCAGTGAGCCGCATTCATCTTAGTTTAAAGTGGACAAATCATGCTATATTTGAATAATAGAATGTAGGACCATACCTCTATAAGGCATATTTATACTTTTTTTTTTTTCAAAATACCAAACAGATCATGCATTTTAGCCATGCCTCATTTCGCTCAATTTGACAATTTCTAGCTCTGGGCAGATTCAGTGAGAACAGCACCACCTAGAGGCCTGGCATATGTACTACAGCGTCTCCAGCGCTTTCGAACGGCAATGGCCGTGGCTGTCTCCTCCTGATTGGTGGAGTTGGTCCAATGGCCGTAGCGCCACCGTCCTGACGTCAGGACAGTGTTCAAATCTGGATCAGTTTTTATCAGATCCGTTGCAGCCCCTTTTTTAGAGATTTGGGTACGGAGGAAAATAGAGAGGGTTGTGTTTTCTGACACTTGGTGAGTTCCCTGGAACACCGGGGACACATATTCATGTATAAAAGACGTACAAAAGTGCATTTTGCATGATAGGTCCCCTTTAAAGTATTTTCCTAGACATATCTGACATATCATTTTAAAGGCTTTTTTAAAAATAGCTTTTAAGTACTTCAGCGTGCCTTGGACGTCCGTACAAGGTTGTCTTCTTTAAAGCTCCAACATCTGTAAGCTATTTATTACGCAGACGGGCCTTCATGTTTGTCTCTTACTTCTAGTTTCATCCAGAGCAACACATGTGTGTGAGAGATGGCAGCAATGGTGTTTAAGGTGTGCTATGTGTAGGATTTTAAAGTTCAATAACTGCCAAATTTAACCTAGCTTCAACTATAGAGGAAGTTCATCTGTTTTTGTGCTGCGTCCAGAGGTTAAAAAACTAAAAGCTGCTCAGATGAGAGAAATGTAAATGCTTTAGAAGTCGTACGCCAAAGCCTTTGTCGAAAGGAAATGGCACAAATATGTCAAGCTGTGTTAATGTGGTGTGAGTATAAATCAACATATGAATATTTATGTTGTGTAACGCGTAACTGTATCTGCTGTTTGCCTAATATTATTATTACCGTCAACAGCGGGCCGTTCTTCGCTCTGTTTCATCAAGTGTTGTCACATGACCTTTTGACCTGTCCTCCATCTCATTGACCCCTGGTGGTGCCGTTTTGTGCCGGTGGATTCGTGTCGTTTAGCCGATGTGAAACGTCAAGTGGTGTCTCTGTTTAAAAAAAAAAAAAAGGAACTCGCCCTGTGTCTGAGAGTGAGAGAAACACAGTCAGTGTGGACTTGTTGTTTGATCGACAAATATGAGCAAAAGTGTGGGTAAATTGAGAGGTTTGTGTTGTGTTACATCCAGGAGAAACATCAGATTTTATTTAGCAGATGGTTCAGTGGCCGACAGGTGCAAACACTCTACAACGATCCAAGACATTTCCATTAGGAGAAACACGCTGCAGCTTCAGAAACGATGCAAATGCAAAAACACAAATGTGCCAAACACAGCTTTTATAAAACATTCACCAACTTAATACTGTTGTTGGAAACGTACCTGAAATGTACGTTTGATGGTGTTATTTTAACAATGTGATCACATGACTCCTTCTGATGTTACTGCAGATCTGCTGTAAGCTAGCTAGCTAACGTAGCTAACCTTTTTTTTGGGAATCAACTATATTTTTTGGTCAACTTTTTTTTAGTCAACTTTTTTTTGGTGATTTTTTTTTGTCACATTTTGGTCAACGGTTCCAACTGTGTGCGTCACTTTTTAGTGTCCCCTGGTCTCCCAGCTGTGTGCATCACTCTATAGTGTCCCCTGGTCTCCCAGCTGTGTGCGTCACTCTTTAGTGTTCCCTGGTCTCCCAGCTGTGTGCGTCACTCTTTAGTGTCCCCTGGTCTCCCAGCTGTGTGCGTCACTCTTTAGTGTCCCCTGGTCTCCCAGCTGTGTGCGTCACTCTTTAGTGTCCCCTGGTCTCCCAGCTGTGTGCGTCACTCTTTAGTGTCCCCTGGTCTCCCAGCTGTGTGCGTCACTCTTTAGTGTCCCCTGGTCTCCCAGCTGTGTGCGTCACTCTTTAGTGTCCCCTGGTCTCCAGCTGTGTGCGTCACTATTTAGTGTCCCCTGGTCTCCAGCTGTGTGCGTCACTCTTTAGTGTCCCCTGGTCTCCCAGCTGTGTGCGTCACTCTTTAGTGTCCCCTGGTCTCCAGCTGTGTGCGTCACTATTTAGTGTCCCCTGGTCTCCAGCTGTGTGCGTCACTCTTTAGTGTCCCCTGGTCTCCCAGCTGTGTGCGTCACTCTTTAGTGTCCCCTGGTCTCCCAGCTGTGTGCGTCACTCTTTAGTGTCCCCTGGTCTCCGTTGTGTGCGTCACTCTTTAGTGTCCCCTGGTCTCCGTTGTGTTTTGAGCTTCTTGCAGCGTTTGTTTTCTGCAGCTTTTAGTAAACGCATGTCTCCTCAAGTTGCTGAATGTTTTCTAAAAGCTGCATGTGTTGTCAAGTTGCTGGAGACGTTTCTTCATGAGTTTCTATTTCTGCATCGTTTCTCCTAAAAGTGTTTTGGGCCGTTTGCACCTGTCGACCACCGTATGATGGTGACCTCTGCTTTGATTTCATATCTGTCTGCGCTCATCTTAGGGAGTTTTCTCTAGGATGAGTTTCCTCACGACTGCAGAGTGAAAGCTGTCACACACAGTGGTTGTTGTCATGTGATATATTCATAACATTTAGATTATATAATGCAGAGGAAAAGTTGCAATAAGTCCTTTTTTAATATAGAGCTACTGCCATGTCTGATCTTGAGACAATATAAACAGGTGGAACAGAAGCCATAAAGAAGATACTTTGTATGAGTGTGTGATATAATAATTCAATAACTCAATAATAATAATTATAATATACAGGTGTGTTTTTTTGTGTTGTCATCCTGTGGAAATGATCTTTCAGGAAATGGCTGCCATGACACGTTGTTTCTTCTCGTTCTTTGTTCGACAGTATCTCTATCATTCAGTGATTTCTTTGAGTTTTAAATGCAATAAATTGGTTTTTAGGATAATGAATCTCCTGTTTATTGTGTGATTCTTTGGTGAGATGTCAGTAGTCTTCTATTTTTAGCACCTAGAACACCAGGTGGAGACAACACTCACAACTCCACATGCATTCAGAAGAGAGGCTGCAGATACAGACGATTATATTTTAAAAAGGGACAAATTAAAACATTTTATACTTAAAAAACATCCTTTTCCTTGAGTCCAATAATCACATATTGCACTGAGTTTACATAACAAATACATATGTATGTAATGTAATTTATACATACTTGTATGTGCACTCCATGGAGACTTTATTAAGCTACCCTGCAGTATACAAAGTCATTCAAACTAGCTGGACCTTTACCAGCTTTGAGAACACTTTCATGATCAATCATTATAAAACATATCATATATATTATTCTGAAATGGACCAATCTGCACAATGACTACTTTTACTGTCGCTACTTTCACTATATTTTGATGATAATACTTTTCTACTTTTACTTGAGGAACATTTTGAATGCAGGACTTTTACTGTAACAGAGTATTCCTACACTCTGGTACTTCTACTTTTACTCAAGTACAAGATCTGAGTACTCCTACTTTTACTCAAGTACAATATCTGAGTACTTCTACTTTTACTCAAGTACAAGATCTGAGTACTCCTACTTTTACTCAAGAACAAGATCTGAGTACTTCTACTTTTACTCAAGTACAAGATCTGAGTACTTCTACTTTTACTCAAATACAATATCTGAGTACTTCTACTTTTACTCAAGTACAAGATCTGAGTACTTCTACTTTTACTCAAGTACAAGATCTGAGTACTTCTACTTTTACTCAAGTACAATATCTGAGTACTTCTACTTTCACTGAAGTACAAGATCTGAGTACTTCTACTTTTACTAAGGGACAATATCTGAGTACTTCTACTTTTACTCAACTACAAGATCTGAGTACTTCTACTTTTACTAAGGGACAATATCTGAGTACTTCTACTTTTACTCAACTATAAGATCTGTACTTCTCCCACCTCTGTGTACATACAGTTTATACACATGAATCCTTAAAGTTTACACGTCTATATTTGACGTATTCCTGCTTAATCTTGTATTTTAATTGCATAATTATGTAATTTGCACTTTTTACAACGCTATTTAACATGTGTTCTTTTACAAAAGTATTTTTGGGCTATGCTGCTTTGATGGAAGAGCCTCAGCCATCAGTATTTATATCACAGATTACAATAAGGTCTGTGAGTGTATTTGTATACATGTTGTTGGTCTAATGCGTGTTTTAAATACAGAACTGACATTTTTGCAAAGCATATTTTCCTCCTATCAGTCAGATCTGAGGTCTGGCATCCATCTGGTTTTATGGAGCCGGTGCAACGACTCTGCCAAAATAAATCAAGGTATTTACCATGTGAATGGCAGAAGAGCCCGGGCTGTTGGTACTTCTCAAGTGTGGAGTGAAAGGGGATAGCTGTAAAATATATTGATGCAGAAACGCTCTCTGTTGATAGGCTGCAGACACTGGGACCCTGCATGGCCAATCTGACACAATTGGGGTGAAACGGTCCAGAAAATACCATTCTCTCCCATTCTCCTCTGTCAATCGGGGCTTAAAGAACCCTGCAGAATGAGAGGCATGGTGGGGGAGTGTGTGTGTGTGTGTGTGTGTGTGTGTGTGTGTGTGTGTGTGTGTGTGTGTGTGTGTGTGTGTGTGTGTGTGTGTGTGTGTGTGTGTGTGTGTGGACAATTAGTGAGAGAAAACTGACGGGAGAGGCAGTCATCACAGAGGTTTCCCTGCTCTGTTCGCGGCTAAAAGGGAACAGATTTGTTTTTCCGCGCTGAACGTCTGAGCGGTGGATTGCAGATGTGAGCTTCTTGCAAAGGAATGCAAGCCCACCCTCTCTTCTCCTCCCCCTTTTTACTTGTGTTTTGCTACAGGCAGCGATGGAAGTACAGTACTTAAGTACAATTTTGAGGTGCTTGTACTTGCACTTTAGTATTATCAGTTCATGCTAATTGTTACTTCTACTCCACTACAATTTAGAAACCAATATTGACAGCTTTTAGTTACTAGTTAGGTTTAGATTATTAACTAATACAACATCTAAATCAATTATTAAATAAACTCTGACATATATTTATGTATTTATTTAGCAGCAGTATATAAAGTTATTCATATCTTCTACCTTTACTAGCTGTGATAAAAACACACGAATAATCTCAGTAACCCAGCAAATATATATATATATATATATATAGGATTCTGAAATGGGCCAATATGCATAAGGAGTACACTGTGGTACTTCTACTTTTACTCAAGTACACGATCTGAGTACTTCAACTTTTACTCAAGTAGAAGATTTTAATAATTATACTTTTACTCAAGTACACGATCTGAGTACTTCTACATTTACTCAAGTACAGTTTTGAATGCAGGACTTTTACCTGTAACAAAGTGTATTTCAAATGTAGTATTGGTACTTTTACTTCAGTAACACATCTGAGTACTTCTTCCACCTCTGTCTGCAGGGACCACACAGATCCTGGGTTACAGGAAGAGACAATCATAAACTTTTTTTTATCTGGTCATGTAGTGAGGATTTGCTGGAAACGGGTCCCACGGCTGACTCCTCAATGACGACCAATGGGTGGACAGGGTTGTACATGAGGGAGAGAGAGAGTGTGTGCATGTGTGAGCGTGTGTGCGTGTGTGAGTGTGCGTGTGTGAGTGTGTGTGTGTGTGTGTGAGAGAGAGGGGGGAAGGAAAACTTTTCTTTCTTTTTTTCGACAGGAGGAGGGGTGTTGTGGGGAAATGCTCGGCGGACCGTGAAGCGTAGAAGAGGGACAAAGACGCACATATAGCGGGACAAAATGCGACAGACAGAAAGCTCTTACAACTAAAACAAACCACAACAACATCGCGATACAAGAATGGAGTTTAAGAGTTGTAGAGCTGGGGAGAGATTTCGAGAGGGAACATGGCAGGACAGATGAGTTTACAAGCTGAGTTTTTGGATAATCACTGTGGTGGGAGTGCGCGTTAACTTTGGATAACTTTGGATAACTGTGGCACGTTTCATACCCACCTCAAATCTGCACCATGGAGCAGAAACGGGCTGCAGTTTGGATTGTTATTCCCACTTTTGAACGGGCATGCTTCCCGGAATAACTGTTGCTGTTTTCTGCAGCCACGCGTGGAGAGGAGGACTGGAAACACATGCACAACCTGGGATCATTTATTTATAAAGTGCATTTTTCTTGGGACTTTGTGTGGATTACTTGCTTAGGGAGACTAAGGGATTGTCCTGCTGCTGGAGAAAGCACTGCTACATGTATATCTACCTGGACACACCAAGAACAATAGTTGCTTTTTCAATTCAATTGAAGTGGACAGAAACACTGACAGCCAATCAAAATCTACCAGAATGAGAACAGTTTTCTTATTCTAATGATTCATATTCTGAACTCTATCCAAGCATGAACGTGTATTTTTCTTGGCCTGTTTGTGGATAACTTGTGAAGTGACATTCAGTGACTGTCCTGCACGTCTCCGAGCCAGAACTTCCTCCCAAGCATGAGATGTTGGTGCAGTTTCCTGGCACTTCTCCCCTGGGTGCTGGTGTTTTTGGACGCCCAGCTGATCTGCTGGCAGGCGCTGCTTCGGTGCCATGAAGAGCCCGAGTGCGACCTGGCCTACAGTCAGTACTTAGCAGCATGTGAGGGGAACATCAGGGGGACGAGAAGACAATGTCCCAGCCACTGTATCAACGCTTTAATCCGGTTAAACCACACTCGAAGTGGTCCGGATCTGGAGACGTGTGACTGTGCACAGGATCAGGAGTGTGTGAAGGCCAAACGCACCATAGAGCCGTGTTTACCGAAGAGATATCCGAGCGATGGAGGGGGAATCGGATGCATGGAGGCTAGGCAACGCTGTGAGGAGGATAGCAGATGCCACACCTCTCTCACTGCTTATTTATCATATTGTGGTCAGCTGTTCAACGGCAGGAAATGCTCCTCCAAGTGCAAAGCCACCATCCAGCAGATGTTGTTCATCCCGAACGGCGTGCTGCTGAACCGCTGTGTTTGCGATGGGGTGGAGAGGCCTTTCTGTGAAGTGGTGAAGGAGAACATGAGCAAACTCTGCGCCATAGGAGACCACATTGTTGTTTCAGACCAGCCGGATGTGGACGACTTCTACGAGGATGAAGACTATGACCCTAAAGTTGACAGAGACGAGGAGGTGGATCATAATTCTGCTTCACACAGGGTTTACAGCCTAACCCTGCTCCTGGTTCTTCCTCTGGCACGGATACTGTACTGAGAACATTTGGATTTAAAAAGGACAACATAATCTGTGTTTGAGGGAGCTTGCAGGACACAAATGGTGGATAAAGGGAGATCTTTTTTCACCTCAGAGCCTTCCTGCCATCCCATTTTAGTTGCAAAGCGACAGTGAGCACATTGTTGTTTCAGACCAGCCTGATGAGGATGAAGACTACGACCCTGAAGACGACAGAGATGAGGAGGTGGATCATAACTTTGCTTCATACGGGGTTTCCAGCCTCATTCTGCTCCTGGTTCTTCCTCTGGCGCGGATGTTGTACCGAGAAAACGGCTATATGGATTTAAAAATGACAAAATAATCTCTCCTAAATGGAGTACAGCTCCAGTGACACGGCACTAGCTTGCAGGACTCAAATGGTGGATAAAGGGAGATCTTTTTTCACCTCAGAGCCTTCCTGATTACCCATTTTAGTTGCAAAGCGACAGTGAGCACATTGTTGTTTCAGACCAGCCTGATGAGGATGAAGAATATGACCCTAAAGTTGACAGAAAAAGAAGGTGGTGGATCATAACTTTGCTTCACTCAGGGTCCTGCTCCTGGTTCTCTCTCTATCACGGATATTGTACTAAGAAAACGGCTATATGGATTTAAAAATGACAAAATAATCTCTGTTTTAGGGAGCCTTGAAGAGTCCTGCTAGAAAGTGACACGGCACTTTCCTGCAGGAGTCAAATGGTGGACTTCCTGCTATTCCATTTGAGTTGCAGGGCTGAGATTTGTGTATGCTTTCCACAACTGTACGATTCGCATAGTAAACCTGAGGTTTTTTGATCACATGTCACTCAGGAAAGCTGCTTTCCCCCCCCCCCCCCTGCTCTGTTGACAAGATGATGATGAGAGGAAGAGGAAGTGACCCGCGGCAGACTGTGTTGCAGGGCATTGCCAAGTTTGAGTGCCTTTAAACAGCTCCTGTTTGTTTGGTTTCAATGGTGCTTGGAGCGTGGCTTTATTAAGACTTTAGACAAACACGGGATCCATCCAGTCTCTGTTTGCTCTCCACTTTCAGGGGCCTCCACACTTCAAACATTTGTGGGAACAGTCAAAGGACAAGGCGAGGGGTTTTAGGATCAAGTAGTGAAATTAGCTGAAGTGCCTCTCAAGCAGCCCCTCCCCCCGAAGTGAGATTGTTTTATAGAACTTTTCCTGAGACCCCCTCTTCTTCCTCTCTACGTCCTGCCCACTTTCACGCCTTAAAAAGACCCCCGTGTGACTTTATGACTGCGTTCACACTGCAGCAACAGGCCAGGAAAAGGCTGTTTCTGAAGCAGGTCAACAAATCACACCTGGAGTTTGTCCGGCTCAGAGTGAGATGTTTACATTTTTTTATACATTGTGTGATTCACATTGATCTAATTCAATAAAAGAATGTGCTTTTTATGGATTAGAGATGCAGACATAGAAGTGGATTGATAGAAAAAGAATCGCTCACAGTATTTTTTCATAACAAAATGACAGAAACTGCAGTGGAAGCTTCATAAATATGGAGATTTTCTCAGATTGTTGTCACATTAAAGAGGATCAATGTGGGTTTTGCACTGACAAAACAAGACATTTAAAGACTTGAGTAACTTCAATGGACATTTTCTCTATATTCTCACATTTTAACGACCAAACAATATCTCTAAATGATCAACTGATAATTGGGAAATAATTGATATTAGCAGCCATATTATGTTTTTTAAGGATTGCCAGAGCAAACACAAGGCCATGCTCTGCCTTATTGAATCTGATTAAAGCAACAGAATAATGAAATGAATGTGGGAAAAGAGACATGTTTACTGAGAGCAGAAGTCAGAGATGTTCACACATGGATTGAATGTATGTTAATGGTTTTGTGGCACACAGTGTTCGTTAAAGAAGCCTGAGAGATTGTAACAAGAGGCTTCATGTAGAGCAACGTTAACATGAAGGAAAAGTGCTTTATGAAGAAAGACAAAACTCAGACTGAATAAAGGAGAGATTTTGAGTTCACAAACACAAGGCTTTTATTTAGTATGTTTTGAACAGCAGTTTTTCACTCGTCCACTATTAAGCTGTTTAGCAAAAAGGGAAATTAAAATCAGTGTTTTCGTTAGTTTTGATCACTCCTAATGAAGCTGCCAATTTGTGTCTTTGCCACTTGAAATTGTGTCAAAACTAATCTGTGTTTTTCTGATGAAGTTTTTACAGAAATGTTTCTAAATGTTAAATTATGAAGCTAGAATATGAAGAATGTGTATATATTTTACAATTATATGCAGTAAAGTAAACCACGGTCACTTATTACACACATTCAACACATTATAAACACAAACATAGTTCAGATTTTGTGCACACAAAACCCTGATTTAGAGATTTCAGTTTTTCGTCTCATCTTCAGAGTGATGTCTTCCATGTGTGAGAGTTTTATAATAAAATGTTTTATGAGTTAAAGCTGTGTAATGATGTTATTTGTCCACAGAGAGATCAAGAAAGTAGTTTAAAAAATATCCTTTATCTTTTCCTCTGAGTGCTGTTCTACTAATTCACTTACCAAACATTCAAACATTGCCTTTTAAAGACTGTTACACACGGTCTAAAAGGCCAAAGAGCAGAGATTATCGTCTGAAAATGTCCTTCTCAAGTCAGCAAAGTGAGTCCAAAGTAAACACTGCGTGCAGCTATGCCCACTGTCTAATATTTAAGGGATTAGGTCAGTGTAATTGAAACCTGGAGAGGAATTTTAAGAGTCTAGTCATTGGGCAAAGAGAGCAGGATTCTACCTTCAGTTCAGGCTGGAGTTGCAATAAAACCACCATTGTTTTTAGAGGAAGACAGAGAGACAGTCACTGAAACACGTGAACTGATCAAAGCACTAAAGAAGAAAGCAGCCATTGTTCAACACTTACTTTGGTGTTTACAAGTTGTAAAAGAGTCATTTTAGCCGAGGTGTGAGGTGTTCACTTGCTCTGTCATGTTGAAAGGGAACAAAAGTGCAGCAGCAGGAGTAGAGTGACAATCTGAGAGAAAATGTGAAGTGTTTTCCAGGACAACAAGAAACACATTTTGATCAGAGGCCTGTACTACGAAGCCGGATTTTCGCTTAGCCGGCTGACTTCAGGTAAAACTCGGGCTTTCCGGTCCTACGACGCTGGTTCTCTTTTTAGCGGGCTGGATCTCCATGGTAACTTATGCTGCGCGGCTAACCTCCTCGGGAGGAGGTTAGGTTGCAGGCTAAGAGATCAACTCAGTGAAAGCACCGCCTGCTGACCAATCAGAGCTCCGTGTGCGGAGTTTAAAGCTATCAAGTCATATTACAGGATAGAGGAAATACAGAAAAAACTGCCGTTGCAGGAAAGACGGCCGGCAAAAATCAACTGACTGTGAACGTGAAAATTAATAGAATATCCCCTCCCATCTTCAGAGCAATCTGACTATTATAACATTAGCGTTAAGAAAGCTTACTTAAATATCTGCCACGACATAAGTAACCGGATCAGAGTAACATTAAGTACAGTCCGCGGCACTGTGAGTGCAGACGTCGATGTGTCCCATTATCATTCATATCATATCACATCATAATGTATCATATATTTCCTTATCTGAGTCAGCTTCTTGAGCCGTATCTGGCCGTGCAACACTCACAGTGTCACATACTGTATGCAGAAGTATTATTTTAAGCAACACATTAAGTTGACGAAACACTCGAGTCAAATGTAATTAAAGTCAGATCCACTCGTGTCTTGGACGGGGCAGTGATTTCATAAACCTGTTAATGTACGCATTCAAACACTTTTTCTTTTACCAGCTGTATTCACCTTGCAGGTGCAGCTTTGTGGCTTTTATCCTGGATAAAGTGTTTAAGTCATGGATGTTTAAAGTTTAACTTCTTCATATTTGACTAATATTAAAGTTCACTTTTCATTCAGGAAGTATGACGCTGCGCTGTCAGTACACTTGTCCATGTTTGTGATTGGTCGAATGCTCCAAATACCACCCCTTTCATGTGAACGCGCACCTAACTAGATAGGACACGGCTGGCTTGAGCGATCCACTTGATAACCCGCGTCGTAGGACCGTTTAGCGAGAGCGCGTATGTTTTGGATTAGGCCAACCGGCTAACTCCAACATATCCAGGTTAGGTTGAACCAGCTTCGTAGTACAGGCCTCTGCTGTCAAACTCTTCTGCTCCCTTGCAGAAGAAAACAAAACAAACACTAACAGACAACACTGATGAGGTAAGAGTGGCTGCTACACACATTTTAAAGAGGCCTTATTCTGCTTTGTGTGGTGTTCCCTTTCCTGTAGTGTGTTCTATATGTTTTAGTGCATGTAAATGGTCTGCAAAAGCTAACATCCCTGAGTTTCTCTGCCACACCTGAACATCAGCAGGAGAGGACTCTTTAAAGCAGAGACACTACATACTGATATACACCTGAACATCAGCAGGAGAGGACTCTTTAAAGCAGAGACACTACATACTGATATACACCTGAACATCAGCATGAGAGGACTCTTTAAAGTAGAGACACTACATACTGATATACACCTGAACATCAGCAGGAGAGGACTCTTTAAAGTAGAGACACTACATGTTGATATACACCTGAACATCAGCAGGAGAGGACTCTTTAAAGTAGAGACACTTACATACTGATATACACCTGAACATCAGCAGGAGAGGACTCTTTAAAGTAGAGACACTACATACTGATATACACCTGAACATCAGCAGGAGAGGACTCTTTAAAGTAGAGACACTACATAATGATATACACCTGAACATCAGCAGGAGAGGACTCTTTAAAGTAGAGACACTTACATACTGATATACACCTGAACATCAGCAGGAGAGGACTCTTTAAAGTAGAGACACTACATACTGATATACACCTGAACATCAGCAGGAGAGGACTCTTTAAAGTAGAGACACTACATGTTGATATACACCTGAACATCAGCAGGAGAGGACTCTTTAAAGTAGAGAGACTACATACTGATATACACCTGAGCATCAGCAGGAGAGGACTTTTTAAAGTAGAGACACTACCTACTGATATACACCTGAACATCAGCAGGAGAGGACTCTTTAAAGTAGAGACACTACATACTGATATACACCTGAACATCAGCAGGAGAGGACTCTTTAAAGTAGAGACACTACATACTGATATACACCTGAACATCAGCAGGAGAGGACTCTTTAAAGTAGAGACACTACATACCGATATACACCTGAACATCAGCAGGAGAGGACTCTTTAAAGTAGAGACACTACATACTGATATACACCTGCACATCAGCAGGAGAGGACTCTTTAAAGTAGAGACACTACATACTGATATACACCTGAACATCAGCAGGAGAGGACTCTTTAAAGTAGAGACACTACATACTGATATACACCTGAACATCAGCAGGAGAGGACTCTTTAAAGTAGAGACACTACATACTGATATACACCTGAACATCAGCAGGAGAGGACTCTTTAAAGTAGAGACACTATATGTTGATATACACCTGAACATCAGCAGGAGAGGACTCTTTAAAGTAGAGAGACTACATACTGATATACACCTGAGCATCAGCAGGAGAGGACTTTTTAAAGTAGAGACACTACCTACTGATATACACCTGAACATCAGCAGGAGAGGACTCTTTAAAGTAGAGACACTACATACTGATATACACCTGAACATCAGCAGGAGAGGACTCTTTAAAGTAGAGACACTACATACTGATATACACCTGAACATCAGCAGGAGAGGACTCTTTAAAGTAGAGACACTACATACCGATATACACCTGAACATCAGCGGGAGAGGACTCTTTAAAGTAGAGACACTACATACCGATATACACCTGAACATCAGCGGGAGAGGACTCTTTAAAGTAGAGACACTACATACCGATATACACCTGAACATCAGCAGGAGAGGACTATTTAAAGTAGAGACACTACATACTGATATACACCTGAACATCAGCAGGAGAGGACTCTTTAAAGTAGAGACACTACATACTGATATACACCTGAACATCAGCAGGAGAGGACTCTTTAAAGTAGAGACACTACATACTGATATACACCTGAACATCAGCAGGAGAGGACTCTTTAAAGTAGAGACACTACATACTGATATACACCAGAAAATGAGCAGAATAGGGACCCTTTAATAAAAAATACATGTTTCTATGCGCTACGGGTGGCATATTTCCACATATCTGCACAGCTTCTTCTGATTTCTTTGTGAACCACAGGAATCCTCGAGCTCTTCCAACCGTCTACGTGTCATAAAAACAGAAAGAGAAGGAAAGAGTCCTACAGCTACAGTATAGCATGACTCCTTCTAGTTTAGTTAGACTGTTTTTACTCCAATCTGTTTTAACCATTGCCATGCATCTTAAAGTCCTCCAACATCACCACCCCGCCCCCCTTAAAATCCCCCCAACCCAAACTCAGAATCTGGGATCAAAATCAAAACAAACATGAGCCGAGTAGCCTTGGGGAGTCGAGTGTGTGCAGGGAACAGACGCAGCACTGTGCTGGAGCCCATTTTCTAAATTATCTTTATTCAACATTTCTCTGAAACAAACCCCCCGCTCCAGAGTGGGATTTAGGAGCCTCTTGTCTCTCATAGGTACAATGTTCCATTCATGTGGGAAGTAGTGGAGTACAAATACCTCGTTACTCTACATTTCTCTGGTATCAGTTTACTCCACTAGACGACTTTTTACTTTCTACTTCTTACATGTTGAACACAAATACCTGTACTTTCTACTTCTTACATGTTGAACCCAAATACCTGTACTTTCTCCTTCTCACATTTTCCAAACCGGCTGGTTCCTTTAGTTTGAATGTGTGTTTGGTGGCGTGATCATTATTATTTAGAGTCATTGCGTGCCTATTGATTTGAACACGATCCGTGTATCCATCATTTCCTGGTCTTCTCTAAAGAAGAGGGACCAATGAAAACGTTGTCATGTTGCCGTTGTTCAGCATGGAAACATTCATTAGCTAACAATGACATTATTGTTCTATTAATATAAAGGGAGGTCAGGTACTCTTTAAAACAGCTGCTAGTTATGGGTACTTTTTACTTAAGTACATTTCAAAGCCCTCTTTACGTTTACTTGAGTAAAGAAGTTTAGTCAGTACTTCTACTTTTACCAGAGTATTTTTAAACACGAGTATCTGTACTTTCACTTGAGTAAAGGATGTGTTTACTTTTGCCATCTCTAAGGTGCAGGAGTGAGTCCTAAAACGTGGAAATTAGCCATTTTAGCAATTCTGGTTCACTGCTCTCCTAGTCAAAGGATTTTGAATGTCTTTTTCGGTTGTTAGCCTGAAATAAGGTCTGTGGGAAACACAAGCTGAAGATATTTTTTTGTTCTACGACATAAGATACGTCAGTAAGTAGGCTACCCCACCGATGAATTTAAAACCA